GAACCTTTTAGAGACCGAGTGCCCAAAAACTGGCCCCGCCCCTGCTCCACTTCCCTGCTCCGCCTCTGCTCTGCCCCCCATCCCCCGCCTCACCTGCCCACAGGACCACTCACCACCTCCAGGGCCCGCCGCAGATCTCCCAGGCAGCCCAGCAGTGCTATGGTGGCCACACTCTCTGCCCGCGCCCTGCAGCATCAACTGCATGATGGGGTGTGAGGGCAGAGTCTTGTCTACGCTGCCTGGCTGCCATGTCCCTGGCTGCGTTGCTCCATGTGGGCCACGCTCGAGGGCGAGTCTCCTTCAGGGGGGCTGCTGGAGAGGAGGGGGTCGTGGGGGGAGGCAAGGCTGGGGCAACAGCACGTGTGCCCACAGAGAGGGCTCCGAGTGCCGCCTCTGGCACCCGTGCCATAGGTTCGCCACCACTGTTCTAGTCCATCCCCCTGCTCAAGCAGGAGACCCTATACCAGTGATGGCAAACCTTTTAGAGACTGAGTGCCCAAGCTGCAACCCAAAACCCATTTATGCATCGTCGAGTGCCAGGTGGGTGTGGCCCATTGGGTGGGTGTGGCCCATTGGGTGGGCGTGGCCCATTGGGTGGACGTGGCTGCAGTGGTAACGGTAGACTGGGTGAGACTAAAAAGTTCAATCAATCAATTCCAACTTTGCAAGATCTTTTTTTCCCTGTGAGAAGTTGAAATTGACTGATTGAACCTTTTTTTTTTTTTTGCACACGGTGGCGGAGGCCTAAAGTAAAAAGGTTTTATAAAACCCAGCTGAAGGTCTAGGACTGGGGCAATGGCGTACGTGCCCACAGAGAGGGCTCTGAGTGCCGCCTCTGGCACCCGTGCCATAGGTTCGCCACCACTGCCCTATACCATTTCAGACAAATGGCTGTCCAGTCTCTTCTTAAAAACCTCCAGTGTTGGAACATTCACAACTTCTGGAGGCAGGTGGTTCCACTGGTTAATTATTATAACGGTCAGGAAGTTTCTCCATGGGATGCAGGCAGCACACAAAACCACGTCCGTGGAAAAGCCTCTCTCCACGGAACTGGTCCCTGGTGCCCACAAGGTTGGGGATCTCTGTTTTAAATCATCCAAGATCTCTTTGCCCTTTCTGGCTCTGGAGCTGAAGGGCCACTTAAAGCTTTGGGCAGTTGAAGATAAAATTCCTGTGGGGACATGTTTGTTTTAACGATACTCCTGAAAGGATTGAATGCGGCTGCCCTGGGGATGAGGGAAGGCGTTGAATCCTAAATATAAATGCCAAGCCAGATTAGGAAATTTCAGGAACTTTTCTTTCCCTTCTGGTTTTCATGCTTGGTTTGTTGGGGGGTAATTTTGAGTTTTGATAGAAGGGAATATTTGTAACTCAGGGTTCAACTGTGGGGTTCTTGGTGCTCTCTGAGCTTGGTGGTTTTCTTGCAGATCTTTCATTGTCCAACTAGGGAACATCATCAGTGTTAGAAGGGGGTGGAATGTATGGAGAAGAGGGAGGGAAGGAAGGAAGGAAGGAAGGAAGGAAGGAAGGAAGGAAGGAAGGAAGGAAGGAAGGAAGGACCATGGGGTCCTTGGTGCTCTCTGAGTTTGGTGGTTTTCTTGCAGACGTTTCATTACCCAACTAGGGAACATCATCAGTGTTAGAAGGGGTGGAATTTATGGAGAGGAGGGAGGGAGGGAAGGAAGGAAGGAAGGAAGGAAGGAAGGAAGGAAGGAAGGAAGGAAGGAAGGAAGGAAGGAAGGAAGGAAGGACCGTGGGGTCCTTGGTACTCTCTGAGTTTGGTGGTTTTCTTGCAGACGTTTCATTACCCAACTAGGGAACATCATCAGTGTTAGAAGGGGTGGAATTTATGGAGAGGAGGGAGGGAGGGAAATAAGGAAGGAAGGAAGGAAGGAAGGACCATAAGGTCCTTGGTGCTTTCTGAGCTTGATGGTTTTCTTGCAGATGTTTCATTATCCAACTAGGGAACATCATCAGTGCTAGAAGGGGGTGGGTTTGTGAAGAAGGAGGAGGACTGTGGGGTCTTGGGTGCTCTCTCAGCTTGATTGTTTGCTTGCAAACATCATCGTCATCAGTGTCTTGTTTCCTTTTTGGCATTTTGATTGCTTTTGATTGTCTGTCTTTTGAATGGTGTGTAGATGTTGTTTATCTCTACGTGCCTGTTGATGGCCAATTTGTCTGAGTGCCCAAAGGATTGTTCTGTTTGGATCGCAATATTTGAATCACATTGCATTCTCTTCGTAACTTGACCCACACTGCAAACCTAGAGCCAGTGGAATCTAAGTGGTTAAGGCACCAAACTAGAACTTGGGAGATCATGAATTCAAATCCTCTCTTAGCCATGAAAGCCAACTGACAACTCTCAACACAGCCCACCTCACAGGATTGTTGTGGGGAAAAATAAGAGGAGCAAGGTGTGTTGGATGTGTTTGCCGCCTTGAGTTATTTGTAAAAAATAATAAAAGATGGGAAACAAACAAACACCTAAGCCTAGATATGGTTTCTGGACATTTCTATTGACTGTTTTTCACTCTTTCCTCCTATTCAAGGCACCCTTTGGAACCTGTCATCTTACGAACCCCTCAAAATGGTGATCATTAACCACGGCCTTCAGACGCTGACCAATGAGGTCATCATCCCTCACTCGGGGTGGGAAAATGAGCCGAACGAAGATTCGAAACCTAGAGATGCGGAATGGAGTACAGTCTTCAAGAATACGTCGGGATGTCTGAGGTGAGAAATGGGGTCCATACAATGTCTCCATGGGCCAAAGGGTTCAGGGAAACAAAGCAGAAATTGCATTCAGCTACGCGGAACCATCTGTTGTATAGTGGGTGCTGGTGGGATATTTGGCTGAATTCAGCATACCTGTCTTGGTGTAAAATAGTTGTCTGCGCTTGTAGAGCAACAGTCTTGCTGTCACCAATCCGACTAGCGGACCCAACAGAAGGAATCCTGAAGGCAATTACATCCCAGCGGGCAAAAACTTTATTGGGTACAGCATCTCAGAACTGAAGAAGCGAAATCAGCTCTGAGTTTTCCCGCGCGAAAGCTTGCTTGGTTAAAAGATAAATTCCCATGCCCCCGTCCCCTGGGGTGTTCACATTGTCCAATAGTACAATTTCGTTTTGTTACGGGAACGGTTCACTTCTCCATCGAGCACCTGCGGCAGTGACCTTGGCGGGGTGCAGGCTTTCAAGGTCCATGAATGACTTCTTGGCATTCCATTCCATTCCCTCCCCCCCCCCCTTGCATTTGAAGTATTTTAAGGTCAGTATGGTCCAGAGTTACCCTGAGGTGAGATCGGCGGCCAATAAATTTTATAAATAAATGAATAAATAATTGGAAATCAAGAATGATTGATTGAAACAGCCAGTTCTCCGGGGGGGGGGAAACTATCATTTATCTATACCTTTTTATCTTCATTCTCTATCCATTCATCCAGCTCCATCATACTTCTATCACTCTCTGTCCATTGATATCTATCTGTCTGTCTGTCTGTCTGTCTATCTATCTATCTATCTATCTATCTATCTATCTATCTATCTATCTATCCATCCATCCATCCATCCATCCATCCACCCACCCACCCACCCACCCACCTACCTACCTACCTACCTACCTATCTATCTGATGGTCCATCTATCCATCCATCCATCCCTACTTACTGCTGTATCCATCTCTTCTCTCTCATCCATCCATCTATCTATCTACCTACCTACCTACCTACCCATCCCAGAGGTCCCCAACCTTTTGGGCACTGGGGACCGGTTCCATGGAGAGAGGTTTTTCTGTGGACCGGAGGGTGCGTGGTTTTGTGTACTGCCTGCATCCCACGGATGGGGCTTTGCTTGTTGCTGGCATGCTGCGGCCCGGTACTGATCCACAGACTGGGAATTGGCAACCCCTGATCTATCCTATCATCTATCTCTCTATATATCCATTATCTATCCATTCATCTACCTCTTTTATACATCCATCAATCTCTGTCACATGTCTGTCTGTCTATCAATCATCTATCTCTACCTATCTATCTCCATTCTCTATCCATTCATCCAGCTCTATTATAAAGCCGTCCATCTCGGTCCATCCATATCCGTCCGTCTGTCTGTCTATCATCTCCCATCCATCCATCTACTGCATTTTATCCTGGGTCTTTGAACCAACCAGCAGCATATCTGGATATGTGCAGCAAGAAATAGAGTCGTGCTAGTAGAGGGGGGGGGGGGAAGAAAGATTGACCTCATTTTCAGACATTCTGTTTTACGTTTGATCAGTTTTTTAGGCCGATATAAATAAAGCAGAGAAAATGAAATGAATCACTCAGCATGTACTTTATGTGCCTCCATCGCTCGGCATCCAGGCATCCTATAATAATAGAGATTTGTAAATGCTGACGGAGCAGTGACAAATGTTGATTGATCATCCATGCAAGAAACAAATAGATGGGTATTTTTAACGTCTTCTTGAACGGAGACAAATTCCTGGTGGGAAAAAAAGTAAGTGAAAAGCCACAGAAAAACCAAAGAAAGCGGCAAAAAGGGGAAAGGGATGGAATACATACATATAAATGTGTACATCACAGTGTAGTAGTGAAAAGAAGGACTAGGGGAGACATAACTGCAGTGTTCCAATATTTGAGAGGCTGCCACAAAGAGGGGGGGGGGTCAACTGATTTTCCAAAGCATCTGAAGGGAGAACAAGAAGCAATGGATGGAAACTAATCAAGGAGAGAAGCAATCTAGAACTAAGGAGAAATTTCCTGACAGCGAGAACAATTAACCAGTGGAACTGCTTGCCTCCAGAAGTTGTGAGTGCTCCATCACTGGAAGCTTTTAAGAAGAGATTGAACAACCAGTTGTCTGAAACGGTATAGGGTTTCCTGCCTGAGCAGGGGGTTGGACTAGAAGACCTCCAAGGTCCCTTCCAACTCGGTTATTCTGTTAATTCCTCCCTCATCTGCATTGCTGCTTTTCTTTTTAAAAATATTATTATTGTTATCGCTGTTGTATAAACGTGACACCGAGGTGAGGGCTGACGTGAGCATTCCAAAGACGAGTGTATCCTGCAATCTTGAGAACTGGCTCTTGTGAAACTTTTAACACCTTGCCAGACTTAATCATGTTATTTTTGGCTTCCTGTTGCTGAACATTAAAGGCTGCCTAAATAGGCACGTTCCTAGCATAGCAAGCCTTAGAAATGTGCCATAGCAAAACCAGCTTATATTATGAGATCCTGAGTGCCTTTTGCTTTGGGACAAATTAATGTCACTCGGAGAGATTTCCTCCTGGGATATGGAGGTGAAAATTTGGCACTGAAAAATTGCCAACCAACTTCTTGAAGAGGCCATGGCCACGCCTGAATAAGAAAACTTGCCACTAGCCAGATTAGCAAAAATGTTTAAAAATGTATCAGATAGATGTCGGAAATGTAAACATAAGACAGGTACTTATGATCATGTATGGTGGACATGCGTTGAAGCAAAGAGGTACTGGACAAAAATACATACTTGGCTAGAAAAGATGTTGGGAAAACATGCAGATTTTAAACCTGAACTTTTTTTTATTAGTATTATGCCAGAGAAGATTGATAAACCAAGTATATATTTGATTTTACATGTGATAACAGCGGCAAGACTCATATTTGCACAATATTGGAAAAAGGGAGAATTACCATCAGAGGAAGAAATCATTAAAAAAAATATTAGAAGGTGCAGAAATGGACAGACTTACTATGAGGCTGAAAGATAAAAAAGAAACAGAATACTATCAGAGTTGGGACTTGTTTTACCAATGACTGGAGAAAAGAATAAAGGATTGGGAATTAAATTTGTACTAGTGAATGATAAACTCAGACAACACGTTTGTTGAACAAGTATTATCGAACTGTATGGAAAAAATAAATTAAAAAAATTACGAAAGAAAAAAGAAAAAGAAAATTTGCAGATGTGTGGATTTCAACTTCCAGAATTCTTAGCATTGGCCATCCCAGTAGAGACTTCTGGGAGTTGCAAGTCCACTCATCTGCAAGTTGCCAAGATGGAGAAACACCGTTGTGTTATATTTGCATATTTGGGCTCAGTTGTGGCCGTAAGTCAAGGACCACCTTCAGATTCAAATCGAACAAGATTTCCAGGAGATTGAGAGTTGTTGTTAGTAGTGAAGTCGTGTCTGACTTATCGCGACCCCATGGACGACGTTCCTCCAGGCCGTCCTGTCCTCTACCATCTTCTGGAGTCCATTGAAGCCCATGACTACTGCTTCAGTGACTCCACCCAGCCACCTTCTCTGTCGTCCCCTTCTTCTATTGCCCTCCATCTTTCCCAGCATCAGGCTCTTCTCCAGTGAGTCCTTCCTTCTCATTAGGTGGCCAAAGTACTTGAGTTTCAACTTCAGGATCTGGCCTTCTAAAGAGCAGTCAGGGATGATCTCCTATAGGACTGAAAAGGTTGATCGCAGTCTTGCAGTCCAGAGCTGGAAACAATTCTGCATTTCTCCTTCGGCTTGAGAAACTTTTGCGTACAGCCTATTAAAAAAAGATGTTTTCTTTCCGGCTTTGGTTTCCAGGTCTCTTCCAATTGTTCAGCTTTTACGAGAAGGGCTAATAGTTCAGACCAAGCTAATAAAAAGAACTGTATTAAACCTTCTCCAGGCTGGAGTGAACTCCAGCCCTGTTTCCATTAATTAATATGGGCCTACCGAATCTCTTGTTCATTTCCATGCTCGGGATTTTCCAGCCCAGCAGCTTCTCCTGGGAATCTCTTTTTAAAGGCAGAAAGTAATGAAGACTGTTTGACGTGCCTCGTTGCTGGAATAATCATTAACCCCTGAAGGAAGACGCAGCCTTCCGTGTAGGATCCAGGCGTAGTATTTGGGTTTGGTTTTTTTTTTAGACTGATGCACCAGGCTTGCTCGGAGCTGAGCAATCATTAAAAGTGACCTTTTTTGCTTTCTGAATTTAGGGCTCTGGTTCCTACAGATGGTTAAGGTGCTCAGAAATAGATTGGATTATTCCCCCCCACTGCAGGATTTTGTGCTGGCCTCCAACAGAACCAGGTGATCAACCGCAAAAAAGGAATCCGCTCATTTCCTTGCATAGCAGAGGATGGAACAGAACAGAACAGGATAGCGGAATGTAGAATAGAATAGAATAGGAATAGGAATAGAATAGAATAGAATAGAATAGAATAGAATAGAATAGAATAGAATAGAATAGAATAGAATAGAATAGAATAGAATAGAATAGAATAGAATAGAGATAGAAAGAATAGAATAGAATAGAATAGAATAGAATAGAATAGAATAGAATAGAATAGAATAGAATAGAATAGAATAGAATAGAATAGAATAGAATAACAGAAATAGGATAAGACAGAATAGAATTAGAATGGAATAGAATAGAATAGAATAGAATAGAATAACAGATAATAGCATAGAATAACAGAAATAGGATAAGATAGAATAGAATTAGAATGGAATAGAATAGAATAGAATAGAATAGAATAGAATAGAATAGAATAGAATAGAATAGAATAACAGATAATAGAATAGAACAGAAATAGGATAAGATAGAATAGAATTAGAATGGAATAGAAATAGCAATAGAAATAGCAATAGAAATAGAAATAGAAATAGAAATAGAAATAGAAAATAGAAAATCAAGTGAAACGCCTACCAAGTTTCTCCTTGGAAGTGAAAAACCACAGCCACTGGCACTGATGATGTTACCTGGTT